GACTGGGTCCTACTTAGCTTCTGCTTCTGAAGTCAGTGTTAATTCAGACAGTATCTTTTCTAGCCAAAAACATGCAGCAAAAGGAAAGTAACATAAACAAGGCTAAATGTCAACAGTGTTTGCAGACTTACAGACACCATCCATTTGTTTGTATTGAAATGACTAGCGAACCATTTGGCAAATACAGTGCTATTCACAGACCGGCCCTTTTCTCCAGCAACACAAACTTCACTGGATCACTGGCATTCCCAGTTAATTAAAAAAAGGAAGCAAGCCATATGAGTTTGGTTTTGTATTGCCATGCAAATGGCACAGCAACATCCGAAAACACGGCTGAAACCCAAGCATGGGGCTGAGGTGCTGATCTGTTCAGCAGTACAGCGCGTACACTACAGGCAGGCCTTGGACCTCCTAATTGAAACTAGAGAAACCTCTTCAAAATCACCATAATGGGGTAAAGAACAGTCTGCAGTAAAACTTCCACATCATTTCATTCTGCCTTCAAGGTAAAGAATATAGTAGTTACTCCTTCAACTGCAGATCTGTTGAAGGACTAACTAAATGCTGGGTTACTTGAGTGCATTACAAGATAGTTTAAATGGGCAGGAGTTCTGTGACTTGCTGCAGTAGAGTGGTATTCCATTGCCTTGTAGCTGTCCCAGAGCTTAAACAGATTGCTTCTTTTTGCTTCTGTTTGATACGGATTTTATAATTTTAAAGAGCTGCAATAAGGATTCAAGTGAAGCCACCATAAACAATTAAAAATCTTTTTCTGTATTTTATATGTTGGTGGTAGTTCTGAAGGGGTTAGCATTATAATCTTTTTGGTTTTGACACCTGTGGCAATAAGCAATTTACAACAACTAAATTCACTATTTAAACATTGGGGTAGAGCACTATAATTATGTGACAGTAAAGCTGTAATAATCTGCCACAATTGATCTTCCCCTTGCCCAGCCCTCTTGTCTGTGCTGCAGTTCCACATTTGGAAGGTATTTCATAAAGTTACAATGCTGAACATTTTAATAATTCTGTGCAATGCTGAACGCTTTCTGCTCCAAAGGAAACTGAAAGTGCTCAGCTTCTGCAGGCTCACAACTCCAAAGCTCCTACCAGACATCCAAAGGGCCTTGCCCTGCTTTCCTACAGTGAAAGAAGGGATAACGGGGTGGAGCCTACACAGAAGAAAACAGCACTAATTGCAGAGGAAAGTGAGCATGAATGGAAGCAAATTAGATTTACAGAGACAACACGGAACTAATACTTTTGGACATCATTAAGTGTGGGTTCAATAGCACTAATCCATCAAGCAACCAGCTAACGCCCAGGACCATCTCTGGCCAATAGTTCTGTAGCCTACCAGCTCTTCTTTGAAAGCCTATACACTTCCCATGCAAAAAATGCAAGTAGGGAAATTTTACCATCCTAGACACAAAGCAGGGAAATTTAAAGGGAAGTAAAGAAAGGAATGGGTCTTGTCACGACTAGATGCTGTGCATATCACATGTAAATTAATGATTTGGAACGTTATTGTGATACAACTACATCTATATGGGAAGACAAGAAGAGTAAGAGAGCATAAAGGGAAAGGAAAACAGATCTGCCAAAACTTGAATACAAAGTAGTTCTAGAACCTCCAAGCACAATTTCTCAAATGAATGAGGGCTGTGAAAGCAGGGTAGACGAATGCTCAAGCCAGCTACCAAGCCATGGAGACACAGCCCTGGGCTTCCCCTCCATGCAGGGCTGCTGGCTGACTAGCCGCAAGGAAAAGCATGTCTGTTTCTTAGAAACTTCATGGTAGCAAAGATTAACAAGACTGGGCCCTAGGTATAGCCACTTGAGACTCCAAAACCAAGTACAGGTCAGGAGTAACTCTAAATTAATCAATGGTGTTTTATTATTTCTTTCTGTTCTTTCCTACATAAATAAAGGAAAAATATTAAAAATATTTGTGTTTTTTCTCAGCAGCATTTTGGCATGGAAATTTCTATATTATGCAGTAACTATGGTTCTTTCCTAATTGTGTCTTTCATCCATACAGCCTGAAGCATGGTAGGAGCATAAATGGATGATGTGTGCATCAACAGTCTCTCTCATTCTACATATAGAGAAACTGAGGACTGTTTTCCCCATGTGTGGTGACCTTCCAAAACAATAATGTGAGCTGGTGGCATTCTCCTTTAGAGATTAAATCCTTTCTGTGCCAAGATTTGTTCTTAAAACCTAACCCATTATCTCAAGGTAAAATCTGCCGACTAAAAATGATCCATGTGGATCAATGGAAATCCCAGCTTGTTTTCATGCAGCCAGAAATTTAACTCAATTAGCATGGCCAATCAAAGAAGCAATCTCAGCTAAATGAAGCTGAGATATTTTATTTCAATTTTATTTCCACTCTATCCTGGCTGTGGAAAGAGCACCACACCTTTCTGTCTTGATTGTGCAAGGTCTGTATCAAGTGTACCAATGCACCAGTGTTCTCTCTTGAGATGTCAACAACCCACACATCATTGGCTGTAAAAAGAAAGGCAGATGCACAGAGTCTTCCAAAATACAAAGGAACAGAAGAATAATGCCCTGGAATTGGGTGCTGGAAGTGGGTCTCAAGTTTTCTGATCTCTCAGGCAGTAGGAGAGACAAAGGCAACCTCAAATAAGGTCATGGGCTTTGTGCAAGAGGGAAGGAAGGCTAATATACAAAGATGCTCCTGATAGCTAATCTACAAACACAGAAACATCAGGTGAGATTCTCAACACTAGCATGCACAGATAGAGTGAATTCACAGTATAAAATGTCACTGAGAACATGAAAAATCCCCAAAAATCACTACTTTCAAGTGGGCAGTGTCCAAGCCAACCTAATAGAAAATAAAATACTGACACGGGGCTTGTTCATACTTATCCACTTTTACTGTGCAATATTGAGAAAAATGAAATAATATATTTAAAAAGTCAGCCCTAATATTTCTATTCTGCAAACACTCAATAGATCGTCAGTGAAGAATTTTAAACAGCTATTTTTGGAGGGGGGAGAAAGGAGAACTTGCACTGCATTTTCCAGTAAAAAAAAGCTTAAAAAGTAGAACAGACAAGCTTCTGTTGGCTTTTTTATCCCTTCATACTTCTAGTCAAATCCATTATCACTGGGCAGAGATCGTGAAAGGGATACAGTCTTTAAAATCATATAAACTCAAGCCATCATAAAATGTCTGTTGAATTGATTGGAAGATGAAATAAAAAACTAATGGAATTAACATTACCTCATTTCAATAGTAAGTTTAGAGGGTGGTTTTTTTGTTGTTGTTTAAAAAACTTATGTCTGGGAAGGAGTATAAAGATCTTTTTTACAAAGCTACTAATCTTGGTTTTCCAATTTTTTACTTGTTTGAATAGTCATTCTCTGGTTTTGTTTTTTTTTGGTTTTTTTTTAAACTGGTTGATTGTACTCCGCAGCTAGAGGAAAAAAAATAAAACCCAAGTACCAGCTGCAAATTAAATCAACTTTCAACTATTTTCAAAACATCAGAAATGTAACTGCTGATTTTGAAGAATCTGGAAATATTTCCAACTCTCTGAATTGGTTCTTAGTGCACTGAGACACGGAAGTTTACAAGTAAGGCTGGGCAGATACTTGGGCTCCTGATTCAGTTTAAGTAATGACAATATGGTGAAGCCAAAATGCTCCAAGAATACAAATGAGATAAACTTTGTGAGGAGAAATCAGACTTCTTCATAAGACCAACTAATACACTTGGAAATGCAGCGAGGGCCTGAAGAAAGGCTTATGGCTTTAAGCACATATACTATTGTAGTAAAGTCAAACAAAGCTCCTACTAACTTTAAGTCAACCAGGGTAAACCACTCTTAAGTGTTTGCAGATTTAGGGTTTTATTTTAAATTGCCAGGCTTTAAAACTGTTGAACACATTTTCTTTTTTTTTTCCTTTTTCTTCTTTTTTGTTTTTAACTTGAATACATTTTAGTGTGCATGTTCAGCTCTGACAATGTTTTCTGATTGGTTTGAAGGTTAAGTGAAACAAGCATTACCAAAGTTTTTGTGATGCTTGCTGACTCTGGTTTTTAAAGTGATACTGCTTTTCATAGGATTTGCATTCTAAAATCTCTTTCAAGCACAAACTATGCTGACAAAATAGGAGATAAATTAAAAAAATAAAATCCTCATTCTCATTTGTTCCAAATAGATTTAACTTTCATTTTTGTCAAATAGGATATGTGTGATATGAGGAATCAAGACTGCAGTTTTGTAAATCAGATACTAATAAAGGTAAAAGGGGGTTTGTTTGTTTGGTGTGCTGTTGGTTTTTTAATTACCTGAAGGCATATTCTTAATTAGGCAAATCAAAAATCCTACAACTGCTAGTTAGAATAGTGAAAATGGTGAAGGTGCCATTGAAACAAAACAAAAAAATCATAAAAAAATAAACAGAAAAAAAAAAAGAAAGAAACAAAACAAAACAGGCTTTTCACCACAGGTAGACACATATCGTGCACTTGGCCTTTGATTTCATCAATATTGTGGCAATTGAACACACCCCAATTCAAAGAAAAGAGGAAATAAAAAAAAAAGGAAAAAGAAAAAGCAAGGTTTGCTTGGCAAAGCATCCAGTGTTTTTTTGTGGGTTCTTACTTATATCAAAATACTGAAAAGTTTGCAAGTTACCATGAAAATAAACTTTTTTCTCCTTTGAGTATGCTAAAGCAGTAAATATCCCCTTCATATGCACTAGCACAGATAGTCTATATTGCTGATACTCTAGTTTAAAAAGCAAGTTCTTTCTAAAATCTTGTATAAGTAAATGCATGCAGCACTGCTGATTTCAATGGAGTAGACCACATATAAGACTAGAATTTGGCCCACAGCATTTAACATTTAAAAAAATGTATTACTAACAAACATGACTAAGTAGATTTAAAGAGCAGCTTCATGATTCTGCACAAGTGTTTTCTGAAATGGTCTAAAAGAAGGTCTAAAACTTACCACACAAGTCAGGTCTCTTGATACATCCACTAGCTGCTGTGCTACTTGCAAGTCCATTAAAGGCTGCTAAGCCATCAGAGCTGTAAGCTCTTAGGACTGACAACATGTTCATCTGCTTCTCCAGGACCTGTGGACCCTGAACTTGCTCAGGTTTCATCACTCCTTGTGCAGTTTCATGGGAGGATAGAAGATTCTGACTGTGCCACTGCTTTTCTGAAGCTTGCGGCAGTGGTGATACGAGCCCTTGTGTTGGTTGTGAGGTGACTGCACTTTGTATGTTATCGCCTCCTTCACTGCTTTCTTTTTTTAGGGCAGACAACTGCTTATTCATAACATCTGGTTCTGTGTCAATGTCTTCATCTTCAATGTTTTCTTCCTTGGAAGATTCCATATCCTCAGATGAAGCTATGTCAGAAAGGTCATCAGTAGCACTTTTATTTACAGAGTCAGAGAGCAGAATATTTGGATCATCTTCGGATTGTTTTTTTATTTCAGGTTCATTACTGGTGCAAGAATTTTGTGCTCCTGTGCCAATAACACCAGGATAAACACCAAACTGCTTATAGAAGTCTGTTGTTGTAAAATTACAAAATGTGGATTCCATGTGGCTGGGCCAGGCAGTGTTCTTTTGCTCTCCCAGGGTCTCTTTATTTTGTCCTTGGGTCATTTTCTCAGAAGCTGAGTCCAGCTGGCTCAGCATGTTTGAAACTGCAGCCTCCTTGCTGGACTGCACAGAAGAAGTGAGCAAGCTCACTTTATTAATCGGGGCCGGAGCTTCTCTAGATTGGTCTTTGTTGTTCCCTATGATGTTGTCTTTACGTTTAGCCTTGCCCAAGTGATTGGCCTGGAGGTGGAGAGCCATTAGTTCCATAGATGAAGTTGTAAAAGAGCAAAATAAGCAGCCGTGCCAGGCAATATTGTCTTGCACAGTGACCGATGTACCAGGGAGGGAGGCTGCATCTGGTCTTACGGATAAGTCAAGAGGTTCATATTGTGACTTTTCTGTTTTTCGCTGTGAGGACTTGCTGCTTATCTTTTCCTCACCACCATCTGAGCCCAGAGCTTTTGCTGAAAGTTGATCTGAGAGAGCTTTATCCTTCATTTCTTTTTCTTTCTTCAAAGAACTTCGGACAAAGTTGTCCATGAAAGCTTGCAAAGACCCTTGGAAGTTCACACCATTCCCAACCATGTTCTGGTAAGCACGGCCAAGTTCAGAGAAGTGCGCTCCTTTGGAAGATATGTCTGAACCCTTCATATTTTCTGAAGGTACTTCAGATGACATGCCAGCTGCTTGTCCTTGCTGATCTCCAGAAGACAGCATTCCAGATGCCCACTGCTGCGAGACCATGCCACTTCGGAAATCGATACCAGGAAGCCCCTTGAAAGCTCCTCTCAATATATCTGGTCTAATAAAGACAGAACTTTTACTTGGTGTCTCATCTTTGTGTTCTTGACTTGCAGTCTGCCCAGAGAGTGGTCCTGCTCCATTCTGCCGCTCACGATGGTGCCGTTCCAAGTGGTATTTGAGGGATGCAGACTGAGTGCCAGCATAATCACAATGTGGACACTTGTAAGGCTTCTCACCTATACATATGGATAATGAGAAAAATATAGAGAATTAACCGTACTCTGGTATATGGATGAGTGAAGGAAAAAAAAAAACAAATTAGCTGCTTGAAAACAATAATATCTTGGAGCTAATAATTCATTTTTTCAAAAAAGAAATGCCTTTAATTGAAGACTAATTCATAAACTGAATATTTCCAAATAGGTTTCCAGAATGTGGGGCTATTCAGGGATGACATGGTATCTACACAAAATTAGCCATCCTTTTCTTAATCTAACATGTAGAAAACTGTTGTAGAATTAAAAACTGTGATTATGAAAATGAAGCATAACAATTTCAACCACAGTAATCATTAAAAGTACAAGTTTAAAAAAAAGAGAGCAAAGAATTTAACAAATGGATGGTTGCAATATTTTGTGTACACAATTGCTCTAAAATTTGTTTAAATTATACACATGGAAACCATTTTTAAACTTAAAAATTTTATGGCACTGTTACGCAAGACTGAAATGAATGATTTAAGTCTTGCTCTGCAGTAAATCATGGATATAATTAGCAAATGGCATACTGCACAAGTAATTTATCATTATTTGGAGGGCACCATTCCAGAAGGATTCAAAGATCTGCAGACCTACTGCATTGTTTCTAAATAAAGAACTATAAATACAGATTCTATAAAATATTAATATCATTACACTATATTATGATTGCAGCATGCAAGAACATATAGTTAAAATAAAAAGTAGTCAATAAAATAAAAAGAAATCAAGTAATAAAAAAAGTACAAAATATATTTAGTTTTGGTATTTGAAATTAGTATTATTTACTGGTTTTTGCAGTCCTTGAAATTTGTGCTAATGGCATTTCTAATGCTCAAGTAGTAAAATGTGCAATTAACCTACCAGAAATGCTTTTATAGGATTACCTTGAATAGAGTTTTAAAACATATAAGGTGATTTTAATGAATTAAAGATATAGGTGAATCCTGCACTAAACTTTCAGTGTTATTCCTATACTTCCTATACTTTAAAAGAGGTAGAAGATATTACACATATAATAAATACTCACATACAGTCATGAAGACATACCCAAAAAGAATGTACATCTAAGCAAACGTATACCTAAATGTTTGCAGACCACTTGTTAGCAATGCAGAGTTCCTTTTAAAGGAAGAAGTATGGAAATCCTCTCTAAAAGTAACAAGAATCTGAAAGACCTGTGAACTGTCAGTAGTTGCAATTATTTCTATGAGGGATCTCAACAACAAAAGTGTTTTCTTTTTTCTACATAGCTTTTTCCTTGTGTGATCCAAAAGAGAAAGGCAAGCCTTCTCCAAAAAGCACAATAGAAATGATGAAATTGAAAACTCTTTCACAGCAAAAATGTTATATAATGATATGTAGTTCACAGAACCAGCTGGAAAGTTACTTTTTTTTCACATAACCTCAAAATCTGCTTAAAACAAAACTGAAAGGCTTTCAAACTTCTCTTATTTAAGCTACAGGCTCAATTGAAAGGCTGGTGAATACTTGGGAAGCTGCTCTTCTCACTGATTGCAGGAATATACTGATCAGAGGCGACGCCAGAAACTTATAAACACTTATGGAATGGTTTGGGTTAGAAGGGACTTTACAGAACATCGAGCTCCAAACCCCTCCCACGGGCAGGGACACCTGCCATCACTGAGGTTGCTCAAATGACCACGGTAGCACTGCGTGAGCAGGCTTACTGACCAGGAACCTGGCTGGATACTTGCTGCAATTTAAATGGGGCTGAAGTAAATTATAAGCAGTGGAAATTCTAAATCTGTAATATAATCCTAAAGCTAAATGGTGAGACATGAGAGCTATATATCAACAACATTAATCAACATTTTCAGGAGAGAAAAGTGCAACACCTCAAACAAGAGGTGTTCAGCAGAAGAAGAGTAACAATTAGCATGGTTCATGCTTCAGACCTGGGTCCACACAACTTAATAGAAGAAATCAGATTCAAACACTTCAGTGCAACCTCTGAGTCTTCCACAGTCATGTCATTAAGTTCTAGCACTCCACCACCACCGAGTGAGGGCTGCATTTCAGTGGGAGCTTTGCAAAAACAGTTCCTACTGATGAGCAAGAATCACTACACTGAGATGGATCACGCCTGCCTGGGCTTACCCAGGTGGGACCCTGAGCACCCACTCACCCACAGCAGGGATTGCAGGGCCAGGACAAGGGGAGAGAGGACAATGGCTGTCTATTTGCATTTCTGCAGGGCTGCTGGGGAGGGTGCAAACTCTGACAGCTGTGCTGCCGGACAGAAATTGGGCAAATATTAATGCCGCTTTTACAGTGGGTACATACTGCCATATTTTTGAGCTGTTTTCTCTTACTCTGATGTTTGTCCCACCAGTCACTACCGAAATCTGACACAACTGCTGAAAAAAAAAGTACCAGACTTTTTTAAGGTTAAAAGCTCTCATTTTTGAGTTTTCACTCCTCTTAAAATTGAAAAGCCCTTCCTCAGCATCCCCTATGCATTTATGGAAATCTTTAACACAATTATATTGAGCATTTCCTTTCATTCTAATGATAGTTCAGTGTGTGTTTGCATTGCACATCAAGTGACACCATTAAAAAGAGTGTCCGGGCATTGCAGGTACTATGGTTATTGCTTCTGCAGGCAGGAGAAGTTTTAAATATAGGCTGCACTGATCTTGATAAAACCCTGCTGTGCAAAGTGGTAAGTAGATGTAAAAATGGGTAAAATGAGTTAGAATATGCTAACTAGATGAAATACTAGAAATATTTTATACTTCTAAAGTACATTCAGTCTAAAGAACCAGACATACTCTTATTCTGAATTACTAAGCTCTGAAGTCTATATATTTTTTGCTCAAAGATCTCTCCACTGGGTGAGCTGTCTTTCTGCAGAGGACATTTGGACACAGCTCACCACCGACACCATAAGCATTGAACTGAAAGAAGACACTGACTGAGACAGTGTGATAAAAAGTTGAAATCTCTCCCAGCCTTGGTACACTGCCTCTGTGGTGCTCCCACCTCTTGCATGGCTAGAAATGAGATCTAAAGCTGAGGGTCTGAAACTGGATTCAACATGTAGCAACACACTGTGCCACCTTTACAATACAGGACTGGCCAAAAAACATTGTTCAAAGGGAGCTGTTCAAAACAGCTCTCTTTTCTTTCAGATCCAAATATTGGCAGTGATTAGTTTACTTCAAAGCAATATAAACTGCTTCTATGTCAAGGGCAGGCAGTAGGAGAAGGGAGTAGGATGGAGTAAATCATCCTTGAATCTTTTAAATTTAGTGTGTCAGTATTTCCTAAATTCAGCAATTGTACAGATATTAAGATGCTTTTTCATCCATTCAAATTAACAACCAGCTATGCCCTGTGTAAGTAAGTCCCTGTGCAAATAACAAAATAGAGTTAAAAGCTCTTGTGGGAAAAAGCTCAACCTAACCTCAACCAAACTAATCAAAATCCAAACCAATTTCAGTAGAAAAGTTCAAAAACCTCTAATTTCCAGGGTTCTATCAGCAACTTGCAATAGTACATGTCCAAAAATACTCCAGGCAACAGGAGAGGTAGGCTACAATTCCTGTTAGAAGACCACCTGTTTGTATGTTTGTATCTCATACTTTGAGGAAAGGTTTAGAGAATTCAGCTTCATGTAATGACTACCCTGGTAATATTGCCAAGAGCAGGGTCTGGATGAGTTATTTAGTACTAAATATTAGTCCACATAAATTAATGTTGCCATGCAGGAGTGAGGGAACAAGACTTCTTCAAAATAATTTTCTGCATTTCATATCCAAGAGTCATTTTTCATTGTTCACAAAGGCGATGACCATCTTGATCTTGCTAATTCTCTGGCCCTGTTTGCATCCCTTTAAACCTTTTCACAATGGAGTGAAAAGGGAGAATATTATAGTATGTACAATTTAAAAAAAAAAATAAAAGTCTTATAGAGAATAACTTATCTGGGCAACATCATCACATTCTGATCTATCTACTGGTTTACAAGACATCTCACAAGAACTATTTTATATCAGGATGTAGTAAAACAATAAAAATTCAATGTTGATTGTAAGATCTGCACAAAAGCTTGGTAGATACCTGGAAACAGACACATTGCCCAGTAGAAACAGGTCTATTTGTATAGCAGGTTGTATAAACAACACAGATGTATCATCTATTCAAGCTGCCACCAGTCCTGCCTAGAACACAATGTGATCACACCAGTCATAGGAATTATCTGCACAGGCTCTGCAAGGAGACCACAGCCAGATTATAAATAGATTTACAGATTTTAAAGCCAGAAGGGCCAATTATGATCATCTAGTCTGATCTGCTGTACAACACAGGCCAAAGGCCCTCACATGATATTTCCTGAATCAAATCATAACAATAATTTGAAACAAAACCTACTTGGTTTAGTTTAAACATATTCTGTTTCAACCACAGCAATGATGAAGAATCCAACATGGCTCTTGGTAAACTTTTTGACTGGTTAAGTATTTTCTTTACTCAAAATGTGTGTCTCATTTCTAGCTTGAATTCATCCCGAGTCTGCTTTCTACTACTGAACATTGCTACATTTTCCCCTGCTGGATTAAACAGATTTTTTTAGTAAAAAAAGTCTATTCCCTAAGGAAGATACTTGCAGACAGTAAATCAGTCACCTCTCACCTTCTCTCACTCTTGAGTGGAATACTGTTCCCAATTTTTCAATGTCCTTTTAAATTATGAGTGCCCACTAAAGCTTTGCTGAAATTTCAGCTCAATAGTAATCTCACACAGTCCAACACTGTGTCTACATCCATAGCTATAGAAGTCAACTAACAGCTCATAATCTGTTGCTTCTTTACCATAATCCTAGGCCCAGTACATCAACACCCCTAGTATTTGTTCCTTTACATTCTGCTGATTTAAAACTCATATTGTTGAAAAGAGTCCACTTGACTAAGTGACTAGTCAGTGCCTCCCCATGATTTTTAGCACTTACCCTT